TTTTCCCGCGTGTTCTGGGGTTTTGCCTCCCCCCCCCCCTCCCCATGTTTTGCCCTAGTTTCCTGGGGATCGACGATGACTCGTGTCTGTGCGTTCTCTCCCCTCCTGCCACGCGAGATCTGGAGCAGCTGCCGAGCCGGGCGCCTGCCGTGGAGAGGCTCGAGTTTCTGACAGAGGCAGCGAAGCTGGGCGCCCCCTTGCCTCGAGACGCCGTGCACGACCTCCCCGAGAGGCTCTGCCAACTGGCCCCGAAGGAGAAGGAGGAGGAGGAGGAGGCACTCCGCTCGCGCCGTGGTGATCTCGTGGCTCCTGACATGTCGGCGCCTGGCGGGCAGAGCTCCGCGCCGGTCTGTGCTCCGACCTCGAGCGCGCGCGTGCCGTCCCCGACGAGCTCCTATAGAGGCCCGCCCCTGGGACCGGCTGGGGAAGTCTTGCCATGGCACGATGAGTGTGACCCTGGACGATCTGCTGGAGAAGATCTACATCGGGGGCGGCCAAGAGGGGGGCGTCCAAAGGGGGGGGGTGCAAATCATGGCCGGCGGCATGTGCGCGGCCCAAGGGGGGGGCCAGGGACGCAATGAAATAAGAAGAGGCGCTGTGAAATCTGGGGAAATATCATGATCCACGCCATGATATCCACCACCCCCTAGTCATCACCCCCATCTCTGCCGCCCCCACAGGGAGAAACCCACGAACACAACGCGCGCAAACCTGGGGAAAGCTTGGTGCGGCAGCTCCCGCAGCCAGCATTGCACCCCTTGCCGTCGCTCGGACGTCCCTTTCCCGCGCATGTTTCGGGCTCATGCGTGTTTTTTTGCCCGACGGTCCAGGATTGAAGGGGCCCCAGGACACACAAATAAATACACACACATAAGAATATTCCCCATATTGTCCCATATTTTCTGGGTTCCTGTCTTCCCCCCCACTTCCCGCATTCTTCCACATTTTCAGGGCATCGACGATTCATTGTGTCTGTGTGTTTTTTTTTTCCCTCCGGAAGGATGTTCTTCCAGGGCCCTCGCCGAGCAAAAATGCACACGTCCGAGCGATGCCAATCGAAGTGTGGCCTGGGAATGGTGTTCTGTTGGCTCCGGGCAGTCAACATGTGGCCTGGGATAGGGTTCTGGGGAGTCCCCGGTTTTCCCCGGCTTCCCCCGGATCCTGCCCAGACCCCCCTGGGGAGTCAGGATGACCCCACTAGAAACCTATCAGTCTTCGCTGTTAGGTAAAAGTGCACACGTCCGAGCGAGGCCAGGGAATCGACGATTAATTGTGTCTGTGTGTTTTTTCCCTCCTGAAGGATGTTCTTCCAGGGCCCTCGCCGAGAAAAAATGCACACGTCCGAGCGATGCCAGGGCCCTTTTGCCCGGGGGCGGCGCGCCGCGGCCGCAGAGGACCCCCGACGCGACGTGGCCCGGGCGTGGGGAGGCGGTCCTCGGCCTTCCAGCCTGTGGGCCTTCGCTGCTGTGGCCAGCCATCGTTTCGGCGTGGGTGCACTCTGTAAGAACGGTTTTTTGAAGGCAGATCTGCCTTCAAAAAACCGTTCTTACAGAGTAGACCGGTTTTTTGAAGGCAGATCTGCCTTCAAAAAACCGTTCTTACAGAGTTAACTCAATGACTTCGGTGGTACAGTCGGGGCGTGGACCTCAGGAACCCCAAATAAGGAGCGGGGCCCCTTTTTTCCATAAGCGAACCGTCGATTTCCGGTCGAAAGCATAAGGACAACCTGAGGCAAGCTGTGAAGCACTTAAGGAACACCGAGCCCCTCCCCAACGAAAAGGGTTCCTTCTTCAGGGCCCCGACTGTACTTTCGATGATACCACGAGGAGCACGCTTGCCGAGACGCGTGACCCTTGGATTCCTGATTGCAGCCAGCCTTGCGCAAACTCATCTCCAGGGAGCAAAAAAGGGCTCCTCTCCCTGGCAGCCGTGGACGTGCCTTGGTGAAGCTGCCTTCCGCGACAGGGCTGCACGCAGCTGCACCGGTTCTGCACTTCTCGCGGCTCTGGGAAACCTAGCGAGCGAATGCAACTGTGCATAGAACTCGGATCGGGGCAGCCAAAACAGCCCGTAACATTTCACGGCGCCGCTCACATCAACATACCTCCAAAGCCCGACTTCTCATCCTTCTTGTCATCGTTTGTTCCTTCCCTCCTCCTTTCCTGCCTCCTTCTTCTCCTCGTCCTCATCCTCCTCGTGCCGCATTCCTCCTCCTCCTCCTCCTCCTCCTCCTCCTCCGCATCATCATCATGTTCATCATCATCATGTTCATCATCATCAACATCATCACCATCATCATCATCATCAGCATCATCATCGTTGTCGTCGTCATCATCATCATCATCCTCATCCTCCTACCCCCAGGATGGTCCCAGGAAGTCGAGCATGGCTCAAGATAGCATCCGACAGACCTCCAAGAGACCTCAAGACAGCCATAAGGCATTCCAAGATAGCTGAGCAGGGCTCAGGATAGCCTCCGACAGCCTCTAGCCGAGCATGGCCCACGATCGCCTCACAGAGACAACAAGAAAGCTTCCGATCGTGTCTGGATAGCGCAAGCGCACCGGAAGACGCCGGGCGCCGTCAGAACGAAGCGTCAATGCAACGAAGAATCTGGTGGGGATACTTTTTTTGTTAGCAGCCGTAGGCGAGCGCGCCAACGGCGAGTAAGGTCCGAGCGGGCCGCAAAGGGGGCCTAATTACCTAGCGCGGAGCGGAGCAGGACCTACCGCCGAAGCCTCAGCGCCGGGGCAGCAAGAGACTGGTGGGGATGCGCGAAGCGTCAAGAATTTCACTGGGCCGGGCCGTCATATCAGCACCTCGCTCGGTGGAGCCACGCCCCTGCCGCTCCCCTCCCCTCCCTCCTCCCTGTGCTCCTCCCATTGCTCCGCCCTTTGCTCCGTGCTCCTCCCCCACAACTGCCGCTTTCGCGCTGGCCAGGCGGAATTCGTTTTGCCTGGACTCCTGCCCCCCCGACCGAATACCCGTTGACAACCACTTCCGCTAGTGCACGTTCGGACGCTCTGGAAAACAACTGTTGTGTTGTGCGAGGCTACTGCGAGGCTTCTAGGAGGCTGAAGAGAGGCTGATGAGAGGCTTCTGCAAGGTTTTTTGCGAGGCAGATGCGAGGCTTCTGAGAGGCTGCAGGAGTTTTGAAAGGCGTCTGCGAGGCTTCCCCCGACGCAGTCAGAGTCCACAACGACGACGTGGTGTGATACTGATGGGCGTTGACGAAAGGAACGGTAAATAAGGAACGAGGCCCCTTTTTTCCCATAAATTAAACTTCGACTTCCCATCGAAAACCCCAGAAACATCTAAGGCAAACTGTGAAACAATCAAGGAACACCGAGCCCCTCCCCAACGAAAAAGGCTCCTTCTTCAGCGCCCCGACTGTAGGGCAGTTGCCAAGGATGGTCTTGCATCCTTGCCTTACTTCGGTCCGACCAAAAACACTTGCGTGTCCATGGGCGCCCAAGGGTTTTGCATCCTTCCTCTGCGCACTGACGACGACGCCGCGGGGCTCGGAGGCCGCGGTGCTCGCCTGCACAGAGTGGTGTTCGCAAGTATGGTGCGGCGCTCGCGCATCTGCCCTGGAGCGGTCTGCACTCTGCTGCGCTCCGTCCTGATGTGCTCTACTCTGCTGGCACCTCTGCTCTACCCTACACGACTCGACCGGGCTGCACTCGGCTGTTACCCTCTCGACTTTTGCCCAGCACCCTCCTCACAAACCTCAGTCGCGAACCATTCAGCTGTCGGTGGCAACTTGGAACATCGACGTGCGCAACTTCGCTTGAAGAGCGCGCCGAGCTGGACCGTTCCGTGGCGTACCAATCGGGCCGGACGAAAGGGAAGGGCGGTAAGTCGCGAGTCAGCTCACGCGTCCTTCCTCCGCAGAATGCGTCTCTACACCACCACCGTGTCTGGCCAGGGCCATCCTGGGCCCCTGCACGGAGTGCACGCCTCCTGGCCGAGGCCCTCGCCAGCCGCGGTGGTGGTGTAACTGGATGCCGTCTGCGGATTCCCTGCCCTGCACCGTCCGTCCGATCCGAGCCACTGGGGAGAAGCCCCGCGCGCGCCAGGGACAAGCCGAGAAGCAGCCAAAGGCACGAGGCGCCGCGAGGTCGGCTGGCGGGAAGGCCACGCGCGGGCCACCGCAGGTGACCAACGCCGAGAGGGCCCTGAGATCCACGGCACAGACGGCCACGGCGCCGGTGTGCCCGCGCCGGCACCAGGAGCCTGGGCCTCGCCGCGCGCGCGGGGGCGTCCGTCCTACCATCTCCCCCACTAGGCGCCCTCGCGCCACAGGCCCCCACATGTGAGAGGCAACGACAGGGGGGACTGGCACAGGGGGGGATACATCGACCTGGCATTGGCGATGCACCGCCGACAGATCGGCGATGGGCCCCCTGATGGTGGAGCCGCACCTCCCTGGGCGCAGGCTGGGGCTGTCGGGCCCCTCTCGGCGATCACTGGGCGCTTGGGGGTCGATGCGCCCCCCCGACGATGCCCATCCCCTCCCATCGTCGCCCCTGACACTGGCGTGCTACCCCCAGGCGCCGAGCCCACCGGCGCGCCCCGCGCTCAGCGCCGCCGCCGCCGTGCCCGGCGGCGGCCCGCCGCGCGCCCGCGCCGAGGCGGCGGCCGCCCCCGCCCGCGGCGCCGCGGCGGCGGGCGCGGCGGCCTCCCAGCTGCGCGGGGCCGCGGGCGCCGCGCCGTGCGGCGCGGGCGCCGGCGCGGGGCTGGCGGCCCGCACGGCGGGGCCCCGCGCGAGCGGGGCCGCGCGCCGGCGGGCCGCCCCGCGCGGGCGGGGCCGCCGCGGGCGCGCCGCCCCGCGAGAGCGGCGAGGGGCTGCGGGCCGCCGGCCACGGCGGCGCGGCGGGCGGCGGGCGCCCCGCGGCCGCCAGGCCCCGGCCGCCGGCCACGGGGCTCCCCAGCGCGAGCCCCCTGGCGGCGGGCTCGCCGCCCGCGCCCGGCCCGTGCGCAGGCCAGGGCAGCGCCGGGCCCGCTGCTGTCCGGCGCGAGGCCGCCGTCGTCGTCCGCGAGGCCTCGGGCAGCTCGCGGGCCCAGGCGCGCCCCGGGCCCTGCGGAGGCGGCCGAGTCTGCCCGGGTGCCGAGCCGCCGGCCGCAAGCAGCAGCTGCTCCAGCACGCGAGCCCTCGCCTTCTCCTCCGAGACCTTGGCGCGCTCGATGGCGAGCTCGGTCCGGTAGAACTGGTCCCTGCGGCGAGACTCCCACTCGGAGTCCCGGGATCGCTCCAGGTCCCGGGATGCCTCCAGCTGCCTCTGGCGCTCCAACTCCAGGGCGTCCTTGAGCGCACCCACCTCGCGCTGCCTCTGCAGGCGCTCGGCCTCGAGCTCGAACGCATGCGCTCGCCGCTGATGCTCGAGCAGCTCGGCCAGCTCTAGCTCGGCCCCCTCTTGAGCCAACTCATGCTGCAGCCCCTGGCACTGCCGCGCCCGCTCGGCCTCTCGCAGGGCGGCGAGGGCGCGCATCTCCCCTCCAGGGCTGCCGCCGCGCGGGCTGGCCGCCCTCGGCGCCTGCGCGCCCTGGTCCGCGAACTCGCGCCGCAGCCGCAGGTCGCGGGCCAGCGACTCGAGGCTCGGGGAGGTGAACAGCCTCCGCCTCAGGTCCGCGCTGGACCTCGGCTGCCCCTGGCAGCGCCACGCCCTGCGAACCGCGATAGCCCTCTCCAACTCCGGCGAGGAGGCGGTCGGTGCGGCCTGCTCCGCTGGCGACCAGTGCGACCCGCGCTGCCGTGCCCACCTGTGCAGCTCCTCCGCACCAGGGCAGGCACCGCGTGCCGCGGCGGGCCACGGCAGCTCCGCGTCCCCGTCGCTGCCCTCCTCCGACGGCGGCTCGGATGGCGGCTGCAACGACTCGCGCCTGCCAGCCCGCTGGCGCGGCTCGTCCCTGGCGAAGCGCTGCGGCGGCGGCGGCCCGCGCTGGCCCTCTGGCCGGCGCGGCTCGTCCGAACCGAAGCCCAGCGGGTCCTCGTCGGTGCCCTCCTCCACGTCTGACGGCTCGGGCGGCGGCTGCAACGACCCGCGCTGGAGCGCCCGCGGCCGCGCCCTGGCCGCGCCGGAGCGAGGCGGCGCCGTCTTCTCCGACGACGGCCTGAGCGGCGGCTGCGGCGACCCGCGCTGGCCTTTCCGCATGGGCGGCTCGTCCGTGCCGAAGCGCAGCGGGTCCTCGTCGTCGGAGTCGTCGGTGCCCTCCTCCTCCACGTCGGAAGGCTCGGGCGGCTGCTGCAACGACCCGCGCTGGACGGCCTGGAGCTGCTGCCTGGCCGCGCCGGAGCGAGGCAAGTCAGCCGTCTTCGACGACGGCCTGAGCGGCGGCTGCGGCGACGACCCGCGCTGGCCTTTCCGCTGGCGCGGCTCGTCAGCACCGAAGCGCGGCGCGTCCTCGTCGTCGGTGCCCTCCGCGTCGGACCGCTCGGGCGGCGGCTGCAACGACCCGCGCTGGAGCGCCCGCGGCCGCGCCCTGGCCGCGCCGGAGCGAGGCGGCGCCGTCTTCTCCGACGACGGCCCGAGCGGCGACTGCGACGACCCGCGCTGGCCTTTCCGCGGGGGCGGCTCGTCCGTGCCGAAGCGCGGCGGGTCCTCCTCCTCCTCCTCCTCCTCCTCGGTGCCCTCCTCCGCGTCGGACCGCTCGGGCGGCGGCTGCAACGACCCGCGCTGGAGCGCCCGCGGCCGCGCCCTGGCCGCGCCAGAGCGAGGCGGCGCCGTCTTCTCCGACGACGGCCTGAGCGGCGGCTGCGGCGACCCGCGCTGGCCTTCCCGCAGGCGCGGCTCGTCAGCACCGAAGCGCGGCGGGTCCTCCTCCTCGGTGCCCTCCTCCGCGTCGGACCGCTCGGGCGGCGGCTGCAACGACCCGCGCTGGAGCGCCCGCGGCCGCGCCCTGGCCGCGCCAGAGCGAGGCGGCGCCGTCTTCTCCGACGACGGCCTGAGCGGCGGCTGCGACGACCCGCGCTGGCCTTTCCGCAGGGGCGGCTCGTCCGTGCCGAAGCGCGGCGGGTCCTCCTCCTCCTCCTCCTCCTCGGTGCCCTCCTCCGCGTCGGACCGCTCGGGCGGCGGCTGCAACGACCCGCGCTGGAGCGCCCGCGGCCGCGCCCTGGCCGCGCCAGAGCGAGGCGGCGCCGTCTTCTCCGACGACGGCCTGAGCGGCGGCTGCGGCGACCCGCGCTGGCCTTTCCGCAGGGGCGGCTCGTACGTGCCGAAGCGCGGCGGGTCCTCCTCCTCGTCGGTGCCCTCCTCCGCGTCTGACCGCTCGGGCGGCGGCTGCGTCGGCTGCATCCTCGCCGCGTGCCGCCGCGGGCGTGCGGCGGGGCGCCGGCCACGGGGGCGCAGAGGCAGACGCCATTGGCGCGCGCGGCGGGAGGCTGGGCCGGCGCTCGCGCTCGGGCAGCTGCCCCTTGAGCCAGGCTGCAGGCGCCACCGCGCGCACGCGCTCGGAGGAGGAGGAGGAGAAGGAGGAGGAGGAGAAGTTGGAGGAGGAGGAGGAGGAGGAGGAGGAGGAGGAGGAGGAGGGGGAGGAGGAGGGGGAGGAGGAGGAGGGGGAGGAGGAGGAGGAGGAGGAGGAGGAGGGAGGAGGAGGAGGAGGAGGAGGAGGGGGAGGAGGAGGAGGAGGAGGAGGAGGAGGAGGAGGAAGAGGAGGAGGGAGGACGCGACGCCCACGCAGCGAGCCCGCGGTTTTCGAGAGGCAGCGCGCGCGCCATCCCAGAATGTATTGGTTTAGCCGCGCTTTGGTATCGTACCTACCACGGTGCTCTCGCACTGCATCATTCCGCCCGGCCGACCGACCGTCCGACCGCACAACCTCCTCCTGGTCCAGCCACTCTGTGGACGCTCCCGTCTCTCTGGACTCGACCCCCCTTGCATTCCTCCGACCGGCCGACCGACCGACCGCAACTGGACCCCTCGTCCTCCCCACCCCCCCCTCTTCCGATCGACCGTCCGATCGCCCCCCCTCCAGGACCCCCCCGACCCTCTGGACCCAGACACCCCCCCACCCCCATTCCTGGCAATCGGCCCGCCATGCCGTCCCACAAACCGCCACTTCCATCATTCTGGCAGACCGTCCCCCTTCCCGCCCGCCCGCCCGCCCGCCCGCCCGCCTGCTCCTCCTCCTCCTCCTCCTCATCCTCATCCTCCTCCTCCTCCTCTTCTTCTTTTTCGTCTTCTTTTTCTTCTTCTTTTCTTCGTCTTTCTCTTTCTCTTTTCCTCCTCCTCCTCCTCCTCCTCCTCCTCCTCCCTCCGCTCCCCTCCCTCATTTCCTCCTGGACCGCCCCCTTCCCCTGGGCCCACACCGACCGACCGACCGACCGACCCCACCTCCTCCACATCTGGGCCAGGAGCCCTCACCATGCGTGGCTGGCCTGCGCCCGAGTCGTTGGGCTCGGGTCGCTCCTCCAACGACCAGCGACCAATTTTGGACGCTCCACCGACCAGCGCCCAGTGGTATGATCCTCGGCACGAATGATCCTTGCTGTAAGGCACGGCATTTCCGTAAATCCCACCCGCCCTTCCCTTCAGGCCGGAGGTGGTCTGGGGCGTTGTTTCTTCCGACCTCCTCCTCTCCCTTCGGGGAACGGTTTACCTCTCCCCATACCCCCCCCCCTCGGTGGGAACAAAGGGAGGGGTCGCTGGCCGTTGGAGCGCCCAAGATTGCCCAAGATGGCTCTAAGGGGCCTCGGATGATCCAGTATGGCTTCCAAGGTGGCTCGAGATAGCCCAAGATGGTGTTCGACATGCTCATGTACGTTCCAAGACCGCCCCAAAACGTGTCTCCGAGACAGCCCCAAGAGGAGATTTCAGGGGCTCGAGAGGGGCAATGCTAATTGAGGATTGAGGACACCCCCCTCTCTGATCGATGTCCCCCAAGATGGTCTCAAGAAGGCCTCCAGCAAAAAAACCTCCCCGTCCTTATCCTCCTGGGAACCGACGTCGAGCACAAAACTTCCACATCTCGAAACATCACGACGAGAGCCCGACACCCACATCTGTACCTGTGTTCGGCATGTCTGGAGCCGCATCGACGCATCGACCCGTGATATAGCCCAGGGGCAGACAACCGCGCAAAAACGTCCTGGGCAAAACAAATCGCAACAAGCAGGCAACGCCCGCATCCCAGAAGGAGGAGGAGGAGGAGGAGGAGGATGAGGAGGAGGAGGAGGAGGAGGAAGAGGAAGAGGAGAAGAAGGCCGAGTAGGAGGGAAGAGGAAGGGAGGAGGAGGAGGAGGAGGAGGAGGAGGAGGAGGAGGAGGAGGAGGAGGAGGGGGAGGGGAGGAGGAGGAGGAGGAAGAGGAGGAGGAGGAGGAGGAGGAGCTGGAGGGAGGAGGAGGAGGAGGAGGAGGAGGAGGAGGGAGGGAGGAGGAGAGGAGGGAGGGAGGGGGGGGAGGGAGGGAGGAGGAGGAGGAGGAAGAGGAGGAGGAGGAGGAGGAGGAGGAGGGAGGAGGAGGGAGGGAGGGAGGGAGGGAGGGAGGGGGGAGGAGGAGGAGGGAGGGAGGGAGGGAGGGAGGAGGGGAGGAGGAGGAGGAGGAGGAGGAGAAGGAGGAGGAGGCGGAGAAGGAGGAGGAGGAGGAGGAGGAGCGAACGAACCCCTGGGAGAGGCGCGTCGATCTATAATGGGCGCGCACCGCCGTGCGCGCTCGGGCCTAGCCTCAGGGCGAGGCGCGAGGCCTGCATGTAGTTCTTGTGGGGGATGTAGGAGTTGTCGACGTTGTTGTCGATCTTGATCGAGTGGTAAAACCTGTAAACCACGGCAAAACGGACGAGCACGTGGTCAATCCTGTCGTCGTCGGTCCCGAGCGGGTCGAAATTGATGTCGTGCAGGCCAAGCCTGGCGAGTGCACATTTGTGAAGTCGTCCACGAGGCAGTGCAGCATGGTGCCACAAGCGCTTGCAGACCAGGTAGTGGCTGAAGGCGCCGGGGTGAAACTTTGGGTTGCAACCAAGAACACAACCACGAAGGACAGGCTGAACATGCATGCGGTATGACGTGGCCCACCCGCCCGATAGCGTCTTCATCACAGGCCAGAAGCGCGAAGGCGGCAACTCGGCGATCTTCGGGCGGATGCGGTTCCACGCGGTCTTCATGTTGTACGGTAACTGGATGAGGGAGGTCATGTCGTTGTCGTCCGCGTACGCGTTGGTGAGGTCGTCGGTGATCAAGGGAGTGGAGTCCGAGTCATTGTTCTGGGAGTCGGCGTCGTGGATCCAGCGGCGCCGAGCATGGTGTTCATTAGCTGCACGTTCGAACCTCTGCTGTAGTTCGGCGGTACGGGGGGGGGTGAACGCAGCGGAGGTCTGAAGTCTGGATGCCGAAGTTGATTACCATGCCTGCGTACAGATACGTTCGGCACGCCGACGGAGCTGAGCATCAGTTTGGCCACGGAAGAGGACTTGAAGACCGCCGCGACGTAGAAGACGAAGAATAAAGGTTTCGCACCATTCATGCCAATCGTCGACGTCCCATTCATGTAGTGGTTGAGCGAGGTAGATCGAGGGGGGCCAATCAGAGGCCCGGTGCTGCAGGCATTCCGCGATGGTCTCGAGCTCGTTGGCTGCGTTGCGCATGTCGTGGTCATCATCATCTGGCGTGTTGGGAATTTGTAGATGAAGTGGTGGAAATCGTTGGAGGCGTTGTGAGTCGGAGTCGGCAGCAGACGGCGCCGACGGGAGGGTGGGGAACCAGGCCCGAAGGCGGGCGGCGATGGTGGCGTCGAAGGAATCTTCGTAGAGCGCGCGCTGCAGCGTGATCATGCAAGTGGTCTGCGGTGATTTCTTTGGAGGATCATCATCAGCACGGCGAAGTTTGTCCGAGACACGGAGAGCAGCAGCACGGGCGAGTTCATGGGCTTGGCGTAGCTGACGGCGAGCCAGATGATCGTGACGGCGGCTGCGCTTGATGATCTTGAAGATGGTGCCCTTGTGGGTGGAGTAGTTGTCGCCAAACTTGGCCGCCCGCAGGTGTTGCGCGATCGAAGAAGCGGAGGCCCAGCGTGGCGCGGTCCAAAGTCCCTGGACAACTCGGACGAGTGGAATCTGATCGAGTGCAGCAAGATGGTGAAGTTCGAGAAGCTGGGGCCAGGCGTTGGTGGTGGAAGTAGCAGAGCGCCACAGCGTGGCAGCAAGCAGGACTTCGACACCAATGGGGATGGCGCAGCCTGCCCAGTTCGCCATGCCGAGGATGTCGAGCTTGGTGAATGCTGAAGGAGCAGATCTGATAACTTTATGCAGGGCATGAATTTCTTTGGAAAGAACGAGTTCTGGAGCAGGAAATAGTTGTCCGACGTAGGTGAGGCAAGTGATCGCGGAAGAGTTGTACAGCGAGACGTTCTGCTGGATGGCCGCGGGGGCGTCGCCTAATATCTGGGTACGATGGTGCCGCTTGGCCGCGGGGGCGGCCCATTGAGCTCGATCATCCGCACAGGGGCCGATGTAGACGCCGAGGTACTTGGCTTCGCCGTCGATCTTGAACTGGGACCAGGCGGGGTTGATCGTCCTGAGCGTGTCGCGCATGGAGTCGTCAACGTCTTCGAAGCAATTGGTCCATACAGGGGCGAGCACGCGCTCCCGAGGTTGGAGCAGCAGTCCTGCGAAGGATTGGGCCGCTTCGGTATGCGGTAGGATGCCTTGCATGTCACGCAAGTGTGCTAAGACGCAACCAATGTCATCGGCACAAGCACTGGCCATGCCACGGCCAATCTGATGAAAGTGACGTTGAATTCCATGTAGGATGGGGTCGAACACCAGGGCCCAGATGGTGCCACTGAGCGGACAGCCCTGGGCTACTCCGCTGGCTGCAACGAGTAGCGGTCGACGTGTGCCTCCCAGCTCGAGGAAGGCGATGGGCGAGGCGTAGAAGGACTGGAGGAGGCGACGGACGCGTCCATCAATCCCCCATCTGCGAATCACTTCCCATAACCAAGCGTGAAGCAAGCTTGGGAAGGCGGCTGCGATGTCCATGCTGAGGAAGAACGGCATGTGCTCGGTGGCGTTGTCCATGGTGCTGTAGATGCGGCTGTACGTGTCAGCTTCGACTATGTTGTTGAGGAATTGGCGGCCAGG